TAAATGTTAAAATTGATAGGTCTCAATTATATTGTAATGTTGAATGGCAAAAGTCAATAGTTAAATATTAGGGGAAAAAACAATTTCCTAGAGACATCAGTAGTACTGGTATCAGTGATACTCGCCTTCAGTAAAGATAAAAAAGATGTCATTAAACAAATATTAAAAACATAGTGTCTTCTTTGTTTCTATGTTAATTTGAAAATTGAATGTGAAATTATTGCAATATAAAAGTATATTTAAAAACTTGAATGTTAGGTGGGATTAATCTCGATTAATTTCAGAAAAGTATGAAATAAAAAAATTTAATTGATTGACAGCACTAATTTTAAACTAATAAAAATGACAGAAGCACATAACAAAATTGCTCTTTATTTAAAGAGATTTTTAGTCTGATAGGCCAAAAATCAGATATTTTCTGCCTGTCTAAACACATCCCTTTTTTTGATACTGTGCTATAAATATACAAATAACCATAACAACCATAATGCATTTCGCTGCATTTGTAGGACACAGAGTTTCCAGGTGTAGTTGCAAGACCAATCGGTGAATTTAGAAGCAATGCTGATTACCAGTACCAGCTGCTGCGGTGTAATGTTGACTTGTTAAAGATCATCCAGCTTGGCCTTACATTTATGAACGAACAGGGTGAATACCCTCCAGGGACGTCAACATGGCAGTTCAACTTCAAATTTAACCTCACGTAAGCATTGCACTTTGTAATTTAAGAGGTATGACGCATATTTTAAACAACAACGCATCAATCCATGATCACACTTTTATGTACACAAGTCCATGTTGAAGATGACTTTTCTTGTCTTCAGGTGTATCCATAGCCATCATGTGATTCTTTATGAAAGCTGGACATTACACCAGCGGTACTGTCTTTTGCAGGGAAGACATGTATGCACAGGATTCCATTGAGTTGCTCACTTCGTCAGGTATCCAGTTTAAGAAGCATGAGGAGGAGGGGATTGAGACTCTGTACTTTGCTGAGCTGCTTATGACCTCAGGTGTGGTGCTTTGTGAGGGGGTCAAGTGGCTCTCATTCCATAGGTAATCTTACAGTAATATTCACATAGTGAAATGAATACAGTGTTTCAGTGGTGATTTAAACCACAACTCCAGATTCTTCACAGCTTGGGAAAATGTACAGTACTGTTTAAAAATGTGTTTCTCTTTTGTGGTTTATTATAGTACAAGTCTAAAACTGTGGTTCAATGAATTATACTATTTTCAAGCTAATTTTTGTCTCTTTTTTTTTTCTTCTTTTTTTTCCCAAACAGTGGCTATGACTTTGGCTACTTGATTAAAAATTTGTCGAACTCGAAATTGCCAGAGGAAGAGGTTGACTTCTTCGAGATTCTTCGTTTATTTTTTCCCATCATTTATGATGTGAAATACCTCATGAAGAGCTGTAAGAACTTGAAGGTATTTTAGCATTTGGAAATGTGCATGAAGATATTGTCATTAGAAATACAATTTTTTGTTAGGACAATGTAATCACAGCTCACATCATTGTGTTTATCCCAAAATAATTTTTTTTAATTTTAACAAAGAACACAACCTTTATAAGCAAAGAGACAAACAAGGTATTTTAGCATTTGGAAATGTGCATGAAGATATTGTCATTAGAAATACAGGCTTTACAAAGTGAGTTATTGTTTTTTAGTTTTTTGTTTTTTGGTGAGTCCATTAAACAACAGAAAAAGACTCAAAAAAGACAACATGATCTACAATAATCCCTTCATTTTTTAAATTTATATAGCAAAAATATTCAGAATTGATCAGTGTGATTTTACTTTATATATGCTTTTACACTATAAATATTTTTGTATTTTTAGTTTTAGTAATTTTGTGCTTGTCAATTGTATTCATTTTTATATTTCTATTTAGCTTTAGTTTAGTCTGAGGAACAAAAAACAATGAATCACATGAAAAATTATTATTTTGAATTAGCTGTTATTTTTTATTTTCATTTTATTTTAATATTTTTATTCGCTTTTGTAATTTTTATTAGTACAATATTTCTATTTAGCTTTATTTTGACCTCAGTTCTAGTTTAAGTAGTACTTCAACAAATTTATTTCATTTAATCGCCAAGGCAACATTTGTTGGTTTCATGTTTTTTTTTTTTCTTTTTCGTTTTTTTATAAAAAAATTTATTTGACTTCAGCTTTATGTCAGTTACTGAAAACTATTTTAATAGTTTTAGTTAAAAGATAACAACACTGGCTGATACGTATCCTTACAAACCCACGTATTTGAATTATATCAGGGGTCACTTTAATTTGTAGCAGTCTGTGTGAATAGAAGGAATTTGTGCCTGATTTCTGTCATGTGATGTGCAGGGTGGTCTGCAGGAGGTGGCAGAGCAGCTTGAGCTGGAGAGAATTGGACCTCAGCATCAGGCAGGCTCTGACTCACTCCTCACAGGAATGGCTTTTTTCAAGATGAGAGAGGTGTGCCTTCAGCTGGAAAAAAACATCAAAGTGCTATGCATATTAAAAATCACAAAGAATCTTTTAAAGTGGCACCGAATGCAGCATTGGTACTGACTGTAACATCGTTGTCGTTGCAGATGTTTTTTGAGGATCACATTGATGATGCAAAGTATTGTGGTCACTTGTATGGACTGGGTTCAGGCTCATCCTATGTCCAGAACGGCACTGGAAACGCTTACGAGGAGGAGGCAAACAAGCAGCAGTCATGACACAACAAGAATCCCTCACCATAAACAACCTCATATACAGGGCTCAAAACATGGGTTTTTAGTTGTTGTTTTGTTTTTCATGAAGGATTTGATAGGATTTTGCACTTTAAAGCTCCCATCCGACAGAACTTCTTCCCTTTGTTGCCTTCTCTGGGTTAAATCTTTTCACACAATGTTCATCTTTTATGGTTAAAGAAGGGGAACCATTTGGTGTTTTAGTTTTCCCCCCCACAGCTCAGCCTTAATATTAAGCTACTTTTTATGTTCTTTTTTATCGTTAATTTATTGCATTAATTTCTTCTCGTGTACGGTTGTTTAGTTCGACTAATTTGGCGAAACCGAGTACACCAGTCACCTACGTGAACTGTCATTCCCTGATCACAGGAGTACTGATTTCTCACACTTTGCAATAGCTGTAGACAGATGGAGGATCTCACAGACACACAGGTCAATACAGGCACTTAATTGTAAAGCAAAGCCTCGCACTGATTTTACCCTTTATGTTGGGTTAGCACAGATTTTACCACACAAGTAAATTAAGAGTGATGATGTAACTGCCACTATTTAAGTGAACTGAGGTCACCTCGTACTTCTGGATCAAGATTGTCTTTCCATTTTCATTTTTAAAAGAGATTTAAAGGTTTTGTAGTATTTTAGTATCAAAGAAGATCAAAGCCTTTTATTCATTTAAGAAATAATGCCTCTTAAAAGAAATCTTAGCCAACTCAAGTGCTCAGTATCAGTGGAATTAGTTTTACTTGTAGTGTGCTGGTTTTTGAATGGTGCAGTTTGTGATGTTTGGGTTTTTCCTCTTTTTTTTGTATTGTATTGCTTTACAATTCTGTGTCGCCTAGATCTGCTGCATGTACTGAAACATTTTTGAATAAATGCTGTGTTAACTACTCTGAGCTTTTATAGATATGTGAATCGCATGAATGCAGCTTGTCCTTTTTTTTTTTTTTGAATGTCTGATTTGGTGAATGATTTTGGTAGCTCGTAACCTCCCTCCTGTTTGTCCATCATCTTGATGTGTACAGTATCCACACTGGTATTATGCAATATAAAGAGACTGTTTTTAGAGCATTTGGAAATAAAAGCCAGATTTTTCTAACATATCCAAAATCTGTTCAGATTTATGCTGTTAAAAGTTTTATTGCACTTTTCTTAAAGGAATAGTTCACCCCAAAAAATCAAAACTTACTAATGGACCCTCAGTCCACCCAAGATGGAGATGTGTTTGTTTCTTCATCGTAACAGGTTTGAAGAAATTTAGCATCACCAATAGATCTTCTGCAGTGAATGAGTGTCGTCAGAAAGTCCAAACACCTGATAAAAACCACTATAATCCACAAGTAATTAATATAACTCCAGTCCATCAATTAAGGTCTCAGCTGTGTGCTTACAATAAATCCGTCCTTAAGACATTTTTACCATCTCAACTGGCTAAAATACATGTTACGCCAAATCAGTTCCAATGAAGAAACAAACTCATCCTACATCTTGGATGGCCTGAGGATGAATACATTTTCAGCAAATTTTAATTTTTAGGTGAAATATTCCTTTAATGGACAGATGCTATAGCTGTAAGTGTTAGACAAACAATACCAGAACAACACTGTAGAACTTAATAAAATATCACTTTATTTATCTTACAGTAACGCTCATCAAGGCATCTCATTCAATGGTGTTGTCATACAGAGTCTGAATTTATATGAAAACACATCAAGCTACCAACACAAACAGCCAGCAGAGTTTCACATACTCTCAAAGAGAACAAAAGCTGCAACAACAATCTACATACACAAAAGCAAGAACCGGAAGAAAACTTGTATCACAGTTTATTTTTGAATGTGGTGTGTGTGAACCTAATCACAAAATAAACAACAGACAGTTCCATAAAAACTACAAAACAGACAACACACCACAAGTCTTGGCATTTCTGAGGTTTCTCAAGTTACATGCAATAACGGTTGAATCAAACTGAGATAAGAAAAATGGTAGTAATTACATTATTAGAGCCCTTAGATAAATCAGATGTGATACTAAACCACATCTTTCGTGAGTTTTGCATTAATTGTGCAAACGGGGTTATGAAACGTATGCTTAAAATAATCTAATATACTGACATTTAATAGTAAAATATTCTCTGCAGCTGTAGTATAACAATGTATATGGAGTTAACACAGTACATTATCCTTGCATACTTGATTCGACAGAACCATCAAGAAAACATAAGGACTAAGACGATTTAAAAACGGAAATAATGTGCAGCTTTAAGCACTTGTCAAAGTGCATATATAGTATTTTTGTCTTCCCTGTGCTTGTCAGGTTAAACAGTGTTTTTGTCTGAATATCCAGCGCTAAAAATGGCCTAAAATATTTGCTACATTTTGCTTGTATAAGACCTTTGCATAATTCATGACAGCTGGAATCCAGACTTAAGAGTGATGGACAAGATCCTCATTGACACTGTCAAATAAAACAGATTATAGTCATGATGTGCAAATGCATCTGTATAGTAATTAATAAAATAAGGGATGCTGCTGCATTTCAACAATGCAGGATCAAAAACAGGTCAAATGTGTTCTAGTGTAGTGCAAAAGCACTTGGGCTTTTCAGTGTTCACATTTCAAACATGAAACACGACTACGTAACACCATCACACAGCATGCATAAATACTTCACGTTTCGCAGACTAACAAAACACCTTCTTCAGCACTGCCTACACCACGCAAGCTAGATTTCAAGGCATTTACCTTACAAACTTCTACATTTTTAAAAATGCGGGTCTTGCAGGAACCATGGTAATGTTTTCAAATGTTCAGCCACAATTGTGGGCTTTTTTAAGCACATTAAGATAGCCATACAGTTTGCAAGGAACGACAAGAGACTCAGTGGTCCCTCATGTATGTACAGTACACACCATAATCCTGCACTGTCAGCTCTTGTGAAGAATCACAGGTAGAGAGTAGATGGGCAATGCAAGTCTGTGCAAGAGCAGCGGAGACATCCTTTCTGTTCCACTGACAACAGACATCACTAGCACAAAAACTCCTAGAGAAAGAAAGTCAGCTCATTTAGAATAAGCCATTAAAACATTCAGGGATTTCAAGATAAGAATCTGGGTGAGATTATATTATTATATTATATTGTATTATTAGGTACACTACCATTCAAAAGGATCAGTTACATTTAAAAAAAAAAATAAAAAATGTATGTTTCTATTCAGCAGGGATGCATACAATTATTTCAAAGTGATGGTGAAGACATTTTTAAATGTTACAAAAATATTTCTATTTCAGATAAATGCTGATCTTTTGAACATTCTATTCTTCAAAGAATCCAGTAAAAAAGTATCACCGTTTCCACACAAAAAATATGAAGCAACATTTATAATAAAAAATGTTTCTTGAGCACAAAATCAGCATATTAGAATGATTTCTGAAGGTTCATGTAACACTGAAGACTGAAGTAATGATGCTGAAAATTCAGCTTTGCATCACAGGAATAAATTACATTTTAAAATATATTAAAACAGAATACATCTTTTCTAAATTGTAATATTATTTCACAATATTACTGTTTTTTTATGTACTTCTAATCAAATCAATGAAGCCTTGGAGAGCTTTAGATACTTTTTTCAAAAACATTAAAACATCTTACTGACTCCAAATGGTAGTGTACGTTACAATACTGTAATTGTAAAACACTTCAAAGTTTTATTATCTGAAAATAAGTCGTATGTTATAGCAATGTATACACACAAAAGTAACAAACCAGTTTCATTAACACGCTCCTAAGTTTCCTTCTCAATAGTCAAGGCTGGGTTGCTTGTACCTGTTAGAAAAATACAGATTGAGCACCATGTTGTTTAACCACATTGTAATATTACCTCACACATTCATAGCTGCACATTTACCTCATATCTACTAGTCACATCTTTGGTCAAGGCACACAAAACACTCAAATTAGCAGTGTTTTGTAATGATCTCAGATGTGGCGTAACTGTGGTCTCACCTAGCGTGTCTCGGTCTTCACTTCCCTCTGACTGTCCGCTGCTCAGCAGTCGGCTCTGAGACTCTCTCAGAGGTTTAGGCGGAAACTGATGGGATTCTCCAGCACTAGGAAAAAAAAGGAAAGGGCATGAATGAAAGGCTCTGCATATCATCAATACAGTATCCCACAATGCAATGTGCATTTCTAGTGTAACAGCGGAACCAGAAGTAATATCTCTTGCACATTTCTTTCTTGACTCATTGATTGGACAGTAAAATGCTAGGATGATTATATTTTTTGCATATTTTCATATCGTTATACGATATTTGTAATGTTTTTGTGATACAACTCAGTTTCCTAAACGAATAATTCATTCTGAGCCATGAACCTTTTGATTGAAGGGCTGCGTCCAGAAGGTGAGGAGGGTTGTTCAGGGTCTGCGTTCACTAGACATGTGGGGAATAAACAGCCGTCGCCCAGACTGCAGAAACACAATATGATACCATGTGAGGGAATGAGATCACCGAACACTCACACTGATCTTTTCAATGCTACTGAACAATAACTGATACCTTGAAAAAATCGGCAGCAGCCAGTATTTCTTTTCATCTCCAAACACTTGCCGAAAGTTCTTGCTTGTTCCTAAACTGAAGGCATTCTTGTCTGGTCCATGCTGGAATGCAGGAGCTCTGAAAGCCTCTAACAAGAGAAACATTTAAACCACATACAGTGGTGTGAAAAAGTGTTGGCCCCCTTCCTGATTTCTTATTTTTTTGCATGTTTGTCACACTTTAATGTTTCAGATCATCAAACTAATTTAAATATTAGTAAAAGATAACACAAGTGAACACAACATGCAGTTTTTAAATGAAGGTTTTTATTATTAAGGGAAAACAAAATCCAAAACTACATGACCCTGTGTGAAGAAGTGTTTGCCCCCCTCTTAAAACTGTGGTTTATCACACTTGAGTTCAATTTCTCTAGCCACACCCAGGCCTGATTACTGCCACACCTGATAAGAAATCAGGTAGGGGGCCAACACTTTTTCACACCACTGTAAATACATAAAAATGTTTCATATACTAACATGATTTCAGATTTTCTCTTAACTTTTAAACCTTGTAATACAATGCAATACATTGATGATTGAGAGATGTACAAATAAATGTTCCTCAAAAACCTGAAGTATCATATGTGATACTCACAGTTTAGCATCATTTTTCTAAAAATTACACTAAAAGGCCTTTTACTTGCTAAAAGAGTATAAACTATTAATTAGACGACGGAAGGCAAGTGATAGATTGTGTACAACAGGTTTTTCAGTAAAGCTTTGATCATGTTAATCATTTAGAAGCCTTAGAAATTCACATATCAAATATGATACAGTAGGATTTACAGGGTTACGATTAGAATATGTCTGTTGCTGAGATTAATTTCCAACATTTTCAACCGTAATGCATCTTGACACACTTGCTTTTGCCAGAAGACTGGGCATGTTGTCACAGATACATGTTCTCTTGAGGATCTGCCACAAAGGGCAGCCTGCAAAAAGACCTAAACACCACCTGCCCCAGATCTGAGTCACTGGATGTATATGAGACATATTTGATCAGGCAGTGCGGACAGATGATAACAGAAAGCTAAATACACACTATTGATGAGCCCGTTTTTACTACTGAAATCCAAGGGTAATTAAAGCACAGCCCACTCACCCAAGGTGGATCTGTTCTTGCAGACAAGCCAGCAGTGATAAGCAAACAAAAACGCTAGGCTCACTGAGAACATGGAGGCAGCGAAAAACAGGAACATGATGTGAAACTTGGCTTGGGTATCAGGCAGACCATTCTGTGTAAAACATGGGAATGACTCTTCATACACCATAAACAGACATGGACTGAAATAAACAAACAGCCTAGGCCTAATTTAAGCTATTACCTGCTATATTATATATATGTCTGGAATACTCAATTCACATCACAAAGGTTGAAAAAATTAAACTGAAAAAATGGGAACAAGCAGAAGTGGGATGGTCCCTACAGACTGTTCATGCCAGACTACAAAAACATTTTGCCTATGTTTGCTTGTCTACTGGGTCTAACAGAAATTGTAAAAACTAAGGTGTTATGCTAAGAGAAACGATCAAAACTACTGGAACTAGAGGAATAAGTTGGTCAATCAAAGCACATCGATAATGTCAGTGATTGACTCAGTCCTACCAAATATTGGATTAGACGATCATGTGTTTTACCATCAACCTTTCAAAATAAAAACACACTTTTTATTGCTCCAGCGTGTGTTCTATTAAATTACAAACAGCCTATCTGCACATTCAAATGACTTCTGTTTCCTAATATACGCCTAAGAAATTAATAATTCATACTTACAGTCCAGAACTGAATGAAATACTGGAAGTCTGTGGCAGTGACGAAGAGGCAATACAACAAAGAATATGCTAGGAACAGCATGAAAAACTTGTAGTTGGCGAAACCCACACAATTGTTTACCCTGTCAAAGAAGATAAAAAAACACCTATTAGCCTCAATAAAATTGGATATTAATATCTATTTTGATTGCAAAATACTGCTCAATATAGACTATAACAAGGGAAAATGTGTAGTTGTTACTTTAATAAGATATTTTTACCCTTCTTGACCCTACTTTTGTCTGTGAAATGCTATGCAATTCAGCACATTTAAATAATATTTTTGACTTGAATAAAACATTTTTATAGTATTGCCTACTTACTAGCTACACAATGTAACTTTTGGCCCTCTAAAATGTATAAAAATGTACTATTTTTAATATGTTTATGTGATTTGTACAGAAACGTACAATCTTTCGAAAAAAAAAAAAAACATAAGCATGAAGGTTCACCCCTAAACTGTCTAAGTAGATCGTACTAAAACATACTAATAAAATGATCTAATTTCATATCAATTCACCAAAACGACTGCTTTAAAAGTGCTATTAAAAGCGTGTTGAAACTAAAATCCTATTTGAATTGGGGTAAAGCAAAAACACGGTTTGGAGGATGGATTTAAGATATAGTCACTTTTATTTTTGTGTTTCAAGCAAAAATGTTACAAAGTGTAACTTTAAATGACAAAATTAAATCATGTTCATTGATAAAAAGGACTGTTTTCTTGGTCTTATAGAAACCCATAAATGTCTGGTGCATGTGTTACTTCTGAGACAAAAAAACACTTTTTATTCTTGCTTTGCATTTAATCTACTGAGCCAGTACATACCACGGACAATGGTGATCCATCTTTAAAATGCACCTGTAAAACAGCAGAGGGAGGAGCTGTTAAAATGCAACACAGCAAAAGCTAATAAGTGTTGTGTCTTTAAAAAAAAGAGAGAAAGACATACATATCACAGGCAGAGCAATGATGACATCGATCAGGCTTCAGCAGCAGACAGCAATCACAGTAGCGGATAGCTGTATCAAGACAGCTTGTTAAAACACAGATCGACAGGATTCACTGAAGACTGAAGACAGATTGAAACAAATGTAACTGTCTGTGACCATTATTTGTTACTGAACCTAAATCTGGGCTGAATGCACTGTTACAAACTTGGCCTTCTAACAGTAGCACAATTAGGATGTGCTAAACTAAAAAAAAAAAAAAAAAAAAGCCCCCCCCCAAATTGTGCGTGTGTAAATGGGCAAATCCTTAGCAATTCTCCTCAAGATCTCCTGTTGAGATTCTCTCCGATCTTCACGCTCTAATAGCTCTTTGTCAGAATGTGACAGGTGGAACTGAAAGGAACAGACGAAAACCAAAACATTTTGATATTTCCTGTGTGGCAAGCAGCACGTTCTGCACTCAGAGATGTAAGAGGAGTACGACTGATTGCCAGTTTGATCCATACGTGGTTTCTCTATTACAGTTTGTTTCTCATTCTCTCGGCTTGATATAAAATAACTGCCTGCAGTGAGGTGCAATAGTTACACCAACAATCGCTTAAAATTTACAACCCAACATGCTGTTTTTTTCACTACGCATAACTCATCCTAATGGCCGTTATACCATATATTTACAAACATTATATAGTAATCTCTGCCTGCAGGAAATAATATTCATTATAAGCCAACACCTCATGAGTCATGCTGAGTATATGCTGAGCAATGACATTTACTTAGAGATTATGCAGTTTATACCACATTCCGATGGCTTCAGATGTCTGCTATTCATTCTCCATAATGTTTACTATGAAATGAGTAATACATAACTTATTTCCATAATCAAATATACTCACCTCTTTGAGCGGGTTCATAGATTTTGTGAAGATGGTTTGCCAGTACGACCACACAAACATGATGAAAAGCACATGATATACCAGGAGGTAAACTACTGTGATAAAAAAAAACAAATATTGAAAGGTGAAATTATAATTTTTATAATTTTAATAACTTTTATATTAAATCATTAAAGCATCACTATTATTTTTTTTATCATTGCTCAAGAATATAGTGAAGGATTATTAAACTTATTAAACTTTGGTGTGTAACTCATCCTGCACTGTTCGTGCTAAATACATTACAATAAAAATGCATCAAATCATGTGGTTGTTTGAGGAGATGTTTTCTTTTTTACAATTTTCTGCAGGCAAAAAAACCCCCAAAAAAAAACATGAAAATATGGGTCAAAATATCCCATAGACTTACACCACTGTTCGAAGATTTTTTTCATGTTTTTGAAAGAAGCCTCTTATGCTCACCAAAGCAGCATTTATTTGATAAATACAGTAAAAACAGTAATATTGTGAAATATTATTACAATTTAAAATAACGATTTTCTATGTTAATGATTTAGAACGTAGTTTATTCCTGTGATTTATTTCTGAATTACTCCAATCTTCAATGTCACATGATCAATCAGAAATCATTCTAATATGCTAATTTGCTGCTCAAGAAACATTTCTTATTATTTTCAATGTTGAAATGGTTGCGCTGCTTAATATTTTTATGAAATCCATGATTCATTATTTTCAGGACTTTTTTGATGAACAGAAAGTTCAAATCAGCATTTATTTGTAAACATTTTTTTTAACATTATAAATGTCTTTACGGTCACTTTTGAACAATTTTATGCATCCTTACTGCATAAAAGTATTATTTTTTTTAATCTTGTAGACCCCAAACTTTTAAATGGTAGCCTACATTAAAAGACCCGAGTCATATCTAGAGACCAGAATATCACAAACCTTAAAAACTGCATATAAGATCACCTTAGCAACCGCATAGCAACACCCTGGCATGAGCAAACACCACTTACATGTTCTTCAGAAAATGCAAAAATTATTGTAAGAATTCACTCCAAAAGGAAAGAAAGGTATTTCCAACTAAAACATTGTAAGAAAAGGCTTACTTACTTTTCTCTCCCGTGTTTTCAATAGTTTCTGCAGAAGAAAGAGAAAGGTAACTTTGTCTCTACAAATTTGTTAATGCTGTATGATTTGAATTCTGCACTGGCTATTATTGTATAAACAGTAGGTCAGAAACTCCTTGTGCATTTCATAGAAGGTCAGCAAGCAGCAGATGATTCTCAGCACAGTTCTCTGATCACTGTTGCTGGAGCTCACGCTGTATGGAGACTCTTGATCAGATGCCCAAATTCTCTAGCTCATAATTGCATCTCTTCAACTGGTGCTCTTTCAGAACTATAATAAGCTATATTGTGGTGACGAGGTTAGAAATACTAACCACAACCACACGTGATTATTCTGTCACAATCTACACTCCTCCTTTCAAAAGGTACTAATATGCACTTTTAAATTACTAAAATGTACACAAACGGTCACCAACAAATTTAACTGAACTTGAGCAGTTCTGCAAAGAAGAGTGGGAAAATCGTGCAAAGTCTAGATGTGCAAAGTCAGTAGAGACATATCCCAATCAGACTAAAGGCTGTAATTAAAGCAAAAGGTGGTTCAACAAAATACTGACACAAGGAGGTGATCCTTTTTCCAACTCAGTGATTCTGTTTTTTATATTTGTTTCTGACATGTTGGTGTTATATATTTCACTTGGGTGTTCTAAGTTGCACTGAGTAAATACAGCTGGATAAAACAAAAAATGTGTCCATCTTCATTTCAGGCTGCAAAGCAACAAAATGTGATTATTTTAAAGGGGGCTTTTCTATACCCACTGTACCTTTAAGGTGCCATTCAAGAGAAAATAATTAAGGCACAAAGATGTACTTTTTAGCTTTCGTATCTTAGGGTATCACCCCAGTGACAGCTTTGTACTTTTTTCTGAGAGTAAGCATATAGTCTCTTCAATAAATATCTAGTTCTTTAAGTTTACTGACGTTGCAGTGTCCTAAAAGCCTCATTAGATTATCCTCTCATTTAATGATGTTGGGCTACACTACTCTCTATCCAAAATATGCTCTTTGAAAGATGATAGTGCCTGGCACTAAAGTAAAAAAAACTGTATTGCTCTGAAGCACAGAGCAGAAATGAAATCCCAGAAAGCAGTGCATCTCCAAACAGATATTTTAATTGAGTATGTGTACCCTAGGGAGCACTCAAGCAGGTTCAGGGGGTACTTAAAAATTGTGATGCATTTGTGGCAATACAAAGATTTTTATGATTTTGTAATAGTACACAAAAAGCACGTAAAGAATTACTGCAAGTGTAAGTACACATTATATACTGTAAAAAGGGCCGTTATCATAATACCCCGTCGTAGACCTTAATCAGGTTAGATGCAATATTTAATTTAACACAGATGAAAATGAGGCTCTGAGGGATAGACTTACAGTCTTCACAATGGCATACACTGTATAAAGATCACGTAATTTCACCATGATTTATGGAGAGTTTGTTAACTGAAAGTTTTTTTGAAAAGACGTTTCATCAGCGGAACAACATATATGTTGTTAAACAATAGTACAATCTAGAACACACTGTAAAAAAAATTCTGTACAATTTACGGTAAAAAAAACGGCAGCTGTGGTTGCCGGAATTTTACCGTAAAGTTATACGGACTTTTTCACTTTCAAAAACGGTATACTACCGTAAAATTATTTACATGTAATGTCCAATACAGTTTTTCACCGTATATAGTAGGGGAATTTACCATTAACCATTTAACAGGTTTTAACTGTAGCATTTTTACAGTCTTTTACCGTTAAATTCACAGTCATTTTTTACAGTGTACTTCTATCCCCTCACAGCCTCATTTTCAATCCTGTCAAAAATTAAATATGGCGCTACTCTGACTAAAGTCTACTGGTATATAAACCTCTCCATTAAAGTAATAAAAACTGTCAACACATGACGAGATTCATTATTAGCAATTTCAGCAATTAAACCGTTTCTTTCCCTGAAGGTGTCAGTGTTGCTGTCTGAGAAATGTCAAATGTATTTGTTGCTAAACTCAGTGTGCAGCACAAATGATTTGACAGCAGAAATAGGTCAAGTAGAGATTGGTGAGGTTGAGTTTGGCAGCTTGGCAGTGAGATTAGCTTTGAGACATAAGGATCAGTAGTATGTTCTTAACAACATTTGTCACCTCAGGTTCGGTAGAGTAAAGACTCATTGACCCATTATCATGGCTTGCAAAGATAGATGCAAAGACAGCATTAACAAGTGAACCAATCTTTTAAAAAGACACGGTCTGTTATGGTTTTGGCTATTCACATGCTTGTTGCAATGAACCAACTAGATAATCCTACTGAACCCATGCAAACGTAATAGCCTTCAATTCAAGCTCAAGTTCAGACATTAAAGCCTTTATGGTTTTCATTCTGTCATCCTGGAGTCAACTGCTCAGTTTGAGTACAAAGCAAGCCTACGGAGACCCACTGTTTGCGGTTCAGCATAAACTGGTATGAACTGCCAGTGGGAACAGCAGTCAGAAGTAAGGCCTGGCCACTGACACTTCAGTCAGTGAAGTCTCTGAGGAACATCACAAAGCTGCTGTTTTGTGCACAAATATTTGAACGTCATTTGATTCTATTAAAGGAGTTCAAACACACACACACCATTGGTCTTCAGTGAAAAACAGGGCATCCTCATGATCATCTACCATTCAAGAGAACAATAAAGCCTCTTCATGCTGTTTTTATGGGACCATGATAGGAGATGTTATCAAAGGAGTGAATGATGTTCTGATGTTAATGTGAACACAAACCTTTTCTTGTTGCGCACACATAAATAAGCTGCAGTCTAAACAAATGACACAGTACATCACAAAGTTTGGTGATATTTTTACAGTGGTGAGAGCTCATTTACAGCAACAAAGGACTGGGAGAGAAGAAGTTTTGTACGATGGTCTAAATGACGGAGTAGTTATAGAGTGATGCCAAATTGCTATATAAAGTATTGCATATGAGTCAATGACATGATGCTTTTTTGTATGGATCTATTATGTTAATTTGTAATACATTACAAATGAAACGCATGAAAATTTTGAATACATCTTTTCTATGAACACATCGCTGTTACTGAATCATTAGTAGTATTATTAATATTTGTGAGACTTAAAATAAAAAATGTCTAAGTGGTGTTAACTGTCCTGAGATTGCAACAAAAACTCACTATATATATATATATATATACTATAAACATACTTTAACCTTTTATGAAAATTTACTTTTATTCAAAGCTGAGAAAACATCTTATTCGTGACTTAAAATAAATTAATGACATTTGTAAAAGATAGATGTGTTTTGATGGTTACATCACTTGACATTTATGAGTCATTAAAACAAAGTTTTTGTAGAAAATAGTATATTTTTTCCAAAATGTATGAAACTAATACAATGCAAATATAACATTTTTAGTAACTTAGCGTAAGTATTTTTTTTTTTTTTTAAAGATTTATCTTTTACCTCACACATCCTTATTAGTCACTGACCCATATATGTTTTTCAGATTTGCAATTAATATACATTGACATGCATAATATTATAATATTAGGGGTTCTTATACAGACAGATTCAGAAACACACGCACATATAAAGAGAGAGGTTAAATAAATTAATCTCATAATCATGACCCACTCTTAATCAATGTGTTTATAATCAAACAGACCCCATCAATAACAGAGATATTGCTCTAGTAAGAGAAGCAGACATATGCGTAACACATGGTCGAGGCCAGGTGTTATTTATTAATTCTCTCTCCGTTTCACTCCAACTTCATTCAGAGCTGCTTCCAGTCTTACCTATGCAGAGCTGCACTACATAAGCGTAGTAGGACCATGCCACGATCAGACTGATGAACAGCACCGGGATCCAGTATAAAACTCTCCAGCAGTCAACGCTACGCGAGCCCGACGGCGCCATCTTTCTATTTGAGGACCAAAAGTGGCCAAAACGACAAGTTCAGCCTCACCGAGCCGGCACTGCTCCTAAAACATCATATCTTCTTCCGCGTGCAGCTGCGGTTCGTCTGCTCCTCCATCCTCCGGTTCTCCGTTCGCTCTTGCTTGTAGTGTAGCACATCGGTACCGCCCCTTTCTACAAACTTGCATGACGCTCACGCGATGCGATGCGATGGCTGCGTTACTACAATAAAGCCTGATTTTACCGTTTTGTATCATCACCATAGGTTGGTCTGCTATAATTTAACAAATATGTTCTATGTCTAATATATTTAAATGTTAAATCTGATTAAAATCTGATTAAAGATGTCACACCAGTGCAACGTTCAATAACACTTTAAATTGTTACATTAATTAAATAATATAGCGATAAAATATTTGTGATACATATTAAGTAGTTCATTCGTTGCTGATAAAAACAGCTAGCGTAAACAAGCCAAAGCTGGTTTGCTGGTTTTAGACGGTCTTCCAGTCTGGATTTAGAGAGATTTGTGCACTTCTCATTGGTTAGTCCAGAAAATGAGCATGCCAACCATCCAAACCAGCTGAAAGCCTGCTTGGCCAAGCTGTGAAACCAGCTAAAATCAGCTTAGACTGGTATAACTGTCTGAGGAACCCCGGAATCTTTTAATGGCTATACATCGTGTTTGACTAAAAAAAAATATTAGACAGCAGAGAATAATGTTTTTTTTATTTTTTCAAGATTTTTTATTTACTTGGCGGCTTTTTTATAATTCAAATTTGGCTGGGTGGTTAATAACACATTTCTCTGTGGTGTGACAAACTCAGAACACATTTAATATTGCTTTTCTCGGACTTTAACACTGGTCTAACATGAAGCGTTCATTGTAAACTTTAAAAAAATAATAATAATAAAAAAAAAGTTTTTAAAAAATCGTTTATGTCTTCTGACACAAGCAAGCACAGACCATAAGGAATGACACAAAATATTCTTTTGATGGTGGTTTTTAATTTATTCAAACCTTTTAGTTTTAAGCAAACTGAATACTAATGCGTAAACGTATACTTCAGTGAACCATAATGACAGATGCACACTGTAATAATTACTTTAAGTAAAAAGATGCTCTTAATATCTTAAAAGATTTATATGAATTAGCTAATGAAATAAGCTATTTTAGGATGTACAGATCTAAGAGATGGCCTAGATCCTTTTTTTTTCATATATATTTTTTTATTGGGTGGAAAGTAAAAGACATAATTATTGAAACAACAGACATAATAAAGACAATCCACAATTTATTTTAAAACTTTTACAAGAAAAGACAACAGAAGAAGGAAAAAACAAAACAAAAAAACAAAACCAAGTCTGGAGGAGGAAAGGTGATGATTCAAAGATTCAAATAAATTCAGTCAACAGGCAAAATTTGAAGAGAGTGAAAATGTTATAAAAGGTTGCCATTTATCATAAAAAAACCATAACTGGCATTCCGAAAGCATCTTATCTTTTCCAACTTCAAAAAGTACATAGTATCCACAAGCCACTGTGAGATACCTGGTGGTTTGGTGGACTTCCAAAGAAATAGAATTCATCGTCTAGCCAATAAAGAAGTGAAGGAAAGTACATCTAACTGTTTAGATGTAACCCGAGTCCAAGCTTTGGGAACCCCAAAGATTGCAGTAGTAGGGCAGACATCAACCTTTGGTATTGAATATTTTGGACATAGTCTCAAAATAATTGTTCCAGTAGTTATGAAGCACTGGACAGAAAAAAAAAACATATGACTCAAACATGCCCTATATTCTGTAGAAATGTGATACCGGAGCTAATTGTCTCAAGGCAGCAGTGGTCACAAAAGTTAATAATATAAAGTTTTGAGTAAAAGGTCCAGATACATAAATGCTTGTTTTATGTTGGTTCAAAACTTTAATTAGAATAAATTAGAAAGAAAAAAACGGTTCCATAATAACAGCTAACCTCGTATGTGACAACATTCCTTACTAGGTCAATGCGTGTTCAGTTTCCTGGGCAATAATGGTGGTAATGTTCCAAAGGCTTTTTGCAGCCAAGGCTTTAAAATATCTGCAAAGATGTTGACTTTAAAAAATAAACATACCCTGAGAAATATTCGCTGGAGTAAAGTGTGACAACTAGCCCTGGTCGCCCTTATATATTTATCACAATGATAACAAAAACTGCACACTGTAATATGCAGAAAAACTGTAATATGCTTAATCACCTCAAAGAATAATCTGAAACACTAAAGTCTAAAGCACTGTCAATATTCTGAAGATATGTCAGTTGAGACTGTTGTAACATGATTAACAGAGATTGATGTCGAATCTCTAAACCTACATGAAATCAGGCCTGATAAAGAGTTCAGTGGGATTCAGTTTCTTCTCGTTTGTTGTTTTGGCTTCACAAGATGTTTCTTAAAGGAGCGGCAGTGTAAGAAACTCATGAAAGAGGTGGAGAGAGGGCTCTGTATGTGTAGCACATTGTGAGACTACTGAGGACTCATTATTGCTGTGTGCACTCAGCACTGTCAGACCCTGTGTAAGCTGATCTGGGTGGTGGGCAGTGGACAAGCTCAGAGAAACTATGTTAGCAATGTGCTCATTGTAAGGAAAGATTATCTGGCTTATAACTTCTAGAGAAGCATATATAACAATGCATTGCCAATACAGCACTACAGAGGCATTAAAACCCAAGGGAACATTTTCTTTACACAAAATAGATCAATAAATAGAATAAATAACTGTATGCTCCATCAAAATTCAGCACTGTTCACATTCGCATTTTCACTTCAACACAGTTCCCTTTAAAATTATGAAGTAATGTCATCATAAATAAAGACACTACTTTGTAATTCATTAATCAACATAATTTATCCCAAAATGTGGGCACTGGACCCATTTCAATTTAAAAGACATTTAATAAATAACTCTTTGATTAATAAAAGTAGCATGGCTATTTCATAAAAGTGTTATCCCTTTTAGTTAATGGCTTTTAAAGTGTTCAGAAAGTGTCTGCCAAGTGACAACGCTGCAACTACAGTCTAAGGAGGTAGCATGTGTTAATCTAATTATGGCAGTATTTGTATCTTACAGAGTTTGAGACAGGTCAGGTAGATAATTGCATCGAGTCACTGAGAACTTTAATCCAACGTGAGATTTCTTCAATGTGACGTGAGGGTGAAGAGAAACACTCAGCGGGACTTTCACCTGCACAAATCAAAGCCATAGAGATGAACGGCATATCAAACGATGATTTATCTACATCATAACTGAATCCAGCAGGTGATACTTTGAATACAAATGTGCTTTATAAAAATAGCAACACCTGTTTATTTCATTCAAACCGCAAATATTCTCACAGTGAGTCTAACTGTTCCCTGTTTTCAGGTGTTTTATGGTGTGAGCCTTTTCTTGTGGGTTGGGCACTGTATTCTATTACTGTGTTAAGTCCTAATACACTGTGTTAGGCTGGTATCTTGTATCTCTGGATAGCAGACATTAATTTTACAGAGTAATCTGATGCTAGAGAAAGAGCTTTGGCTGAATGCTGAGCAGTTGCTAGCGCTGTACTTCAGTATCATTAATTCTGAATTCTCCAGGGCAATATCTTGAAGCCAAACTAAAAACACTGCATAATATCCACTTCATTTTTTTGTATTCAACCATGAACTTACCTATTTAGCAGTGAGTTCCTTCTTCATACAGGCTTTAAAGGATGTGAATCTCTCTTCACCTTTATATCCCTGGGTAAATGATGATAATACAAAGGATAATATGTTTTACATCATCAATAGAAACATTATCTTGAAAATAGGGAAAATTAAATGAACAGTGCTAGTTGATGAGACTACTAGCATACTAAATGAACAATAAATGGCCACTAGATGTCAGCAAAATTGCACCCACAAGAAGCATTTACTTGGTTGAAAAAGCAATATGAAAGGCAACAATAAAGGGTTTGTTTACAAACGTTTGGGTTCTGTAAGAATTTTTTTAAATGTTTTTGAAAGAAGTCTCTTATGCTCACCAAAGAGCATTTATGTCAAATAGATTTTTTTGTAACAATGTTAAAGTCTTTACTGTCACTTTTGATTAGTTTATTGCGTCCTTGCTAAATAAACATATTAATATATTTTTTAAAAAACGTATTGACTCCAAACATTTGAACAGAAGTGTAATAATATTAATAGTAAAACTATTAACAACCATATAATAATAATGACTAACTTGAATTTAAATTATTTTTAAATGTTTAAAAAAAAAATAACTTTCCTGTCACAAGCCGAAATGTGTTATGATTAACATTAACTTATGATTAGCTACGCTAATTATGTCTCTATTTGTTTCTCTGTTTTTGCCACGGGACTGACTGACAGCTGATTTGCATATTAAAAACGCAAACAAATATGGCAAGCACTCTCCCAAATACAAACGCTAATGCCATGTGTCCATTCAAAACCTCAAACCAGATTTCTGGACCACCTGATTTTCTCCACTTGGATCTCAGAAACCTGTTTTAAGGCTCACCAGTGGTTCATTACTCTGCAGTTATGGCCGTGAACGCTGGAAAAATGGCATTTAAACAAGTGGAGAAAACCATCAAACCCTCCCCCCATATTTACCCAGGAGCCACGATGCAGCCGGTCCTTCATTATCCCAATGAACTCCTTGTAGCTCAGCTGGTCATCATGGTCCACATCAAAGATCTTGAAAACAGTGTTCACAAGATGTCGTGACAGCTTCAGTCCAGTGGCCACATAGACCGCACGTGCAAATTCACCTGTGAGAGCCAAACAATATTACCCACAAGCGTTTCAGGAGTAAATGGATTATATGAATGGATTATATGTTTACCTTGTCCAATTGGGCGATTTGCATAGTTGTACATTTGCATGGCAATTGCAAAATCCTCCAAGTTGTTGAGGAACTGAAAAAACGACCTAAACTCTTCAAACGTGATGCCCTAGAAAAGAAGATCAGTGTTAGATCAGTGTCTTACAGATGAAATTGTCAATGTTCCTTTTAAGAGGAACCTTTGGGCAATGGAAAGATAATTATGTCATCGTCTTTATAATATGACAGCACTCATGCAGAGATCTAGTACATAAAATGATGAATTTTGAAATATATATCTATAGTCTCAGATTAATTCTCTGGGTAATAAATGCAGAACCCCTAAACAAGACAAAACTGCATGCAGGCCTCACTATTCCGACCAGGAGGACACCTTAAGTGTCTGTGGGACCTTGAAGAGCGATAACAGATCCCAAGACAGAAAACAGCAAAGTCAAACAATCCCAGCAGCACACATCTCTCCTGCTCCGGCACCCGATCTATACAATTTGAGCTGTCGACACCTTTAGATTGTTTTGTTTAAGGAGAGGTCAGGTAGCTTGTCGACTCTTCTAAAGAAGATTAACCTGATACTTGCATACATAAAAACAAAAGGAGATGTGTCCAAAATATCTCAGCGCTAGCAGATTACCCAAACAGCGGTCCTTTGCATTTCCATTCATCCATTCCCAGGCACTAGACCCACGTCTTTTTCTGAAGCCTCTCTTGCAACCAACAACTGTTTTACAAATGATCTAATGAGTAATATGTGACGCTTTGGTGGTTTTACAAGTTAAGCTGTATTTCAATATCTCAACTTAAGAATAAAAACCACTTATATAGCAATGGCCATCCACCAACAGCCTCTTTGAGCAACTGAAAAGAATCTCATTTCCAGGCACTATACCCACGTCTTTTTCTGAAGCCTCTCTTGCAACCAACAACAACTGTTTTACAAATGATCTAATGAGTAATATGTGACGCTTTGGTGGTTTTACAAGTTAAGCTGTATTTCAATATCTCAACTTAAGAATAAAAACCACTTATATAGCAATGGCCATCCACCAACAGCCTCTTTGAGCAACTGAAAAGAATCTAACCTCATAATTTGAGGGTCAATGTGCAAAAAGGGAAACAGCCTAAAGAAAAAAAGACATCAAAACATCATTCAGATTATAAATATCTACCTCTCTCTACTATGTGGTGATATTTGTTGCACTGATCTTATCAGACTTATTCATGAAAAATACATGAACTTAGATAAAGGTAAAGGAGTAGAAATATTAGAATATTGCATTCCCAGGCACTAGACCCACGTCTTTTTCTGAAGCCTCTCTTGCAACCAACAACAACTGTTTTACAAATGATCTAATGAGTAATATGTGACGCTTTGGTGGTTTTACAAGTTAAGCTGTATTTCAATATCTCAACTTAAGAATAAAAACCACTTATATAGCAATGGCCATCCACCAACAGCCTCTTTGAGCAACTGAAAAGAATCTTTGTCAATTGAGGGTCAATGTGCAAAAAGGGAAACAGCCTAAAGAAAAAAAGACATCAAAACATCATTCAGATTATAAATATCTACCTCTCTCTACTATGTGGTGATATTTGTTGCACTGATCTTATCAGACTTATTCATGAAAAATACATGAACTTAGATAAAGGTAAAGGAGTAGAAATATTAGAATATTGACAAACTGATGTGACTGATAAAGTATTGAGTTCATGCTAGATTGGTATGAACTCAATACTTTATCAGTCACATCAGTTTGTCAATATTCTAATATTTCTACTAGTACTTCCTAGCTAACAATGAATGTTCTTAGAACTTTGGCTAATGTTCTAGCAAGGTTCTCCTAAGTTATCTGGTCTGTTGTTCTCAAAACATTAGCACAAAAACACTATTTATACATGTAATATTCATGTAATGCTTTTCTTAAATGATTTAGTTGGATGTTCATCTAATGCTTTTTTAATATTACTAATAGTTTCAGATGGTTCAGAGAACATTGTTAATGTTAATGTTACCCATAATGTTTGCAAAACTATAATTAAAAAAAAAACTGAATGTTTTGAATGTTCCAAGAACATTCAGAAATAACGCTTCCATAACGTAATGGGAATGTTTGTAAACCATTCTTAGAACATATTTTCTTAGAACATATAAGTTGTTGTACAAAAATAACAATGCGCTTAATTACAGTATCTTACCATTTTGTCGGTAAATGCAAACTGACATAAAATTTGAATGTGGTGTCTGTGGCGCTTGTTTGGAAAGCCTCCTGATTTTCCTGAGTGATGATAGTGGTGAGTGTGTGTGTGTGTGTGTGTGTGTGTGTCCAGTGCAAAAGTATTACCTTCTCATCGGGTTTGCTTTGACGCACATTCTCAAGGTAGCCTGTAATGTTCTCCACTGTGGTGTAGCGCAGCAGGATACGAGCAAAGTCTTCCTCACTGATGGTGGTCATTCCCTTGGAATAACTGAGGAACTCAATCTCAAGGACTTCTGTCTGCAGGTTGTCCATGAATCTGCCGACAGAGCATGACACAGACACAGTGTTAAGAGGAGATGCCATCTCTCGCTCAGTAGGACACTAGACTAAGTGACTGGACCGTCCCAACATGCTCCAATACAGCATCCTTACTGATGGCCTCAGGGATTTCAAACTCCTTTTTAAGGGTCATGCATTAATAACATGTATAAAAACAGTGAAGAAACCTGAGGCTGCATTACAGAAACTTCATGAAACATCATGATAGAGTTCAATATTAATTTAAGACTTAAGATAGGAAATCCATCAGCCTAGTCATCAAATCTGTCACTTACCTGTAGAAGTCATCAAAGTTAAGTTCACTTTTGCCCTTTTTTCCAAAGAAATGCACCAGCAGAGTTGTATCGGTGACATTTTCTGTTTCATGCTGTGAAAGCAAATTATGAAAACACATTATTCAGCTGTAAAAACTGAATAAGGGAGCAAAATTGGTCACAGAATAAGTGTACACAAAAATAGCTTGATGAGGATATTGTGCAGCCATAAACATAATATCACAATATAAACAACGCAGATACAAACACAAACACAAATAAATGTAAAATGAACATAAACTAGAAAATAAATGATTAATTAAAAGCAATTGATCAATTGAGATAAATCTAAATCTCTTATCATACATCTTAAAATCACAAATGAACAACTGTTCTTTGATTTGGTGGACTTCAGCTAGCTGTGAATGTCGATTAAAGGTACAATGAAGATTCTGTCATCATTTTTTCACACTCATGTTACTCTGGCTCTCCTTAGCACATTTTTATAGGACTTTTTTGCATCATCTTGAAAGCTCCTGTCTCTACATTCACTGTAAACTAGAACGGCATAAAGGAAATCACAGATTTGGAACAACATGAGGGTGAGTAATTGATGACAGAATTATCTATAAAGTCTTGGAAAGTTAATATGTACATGTAACTAATATGTTTGATAGAGCAAAGACACATCATGGAGCAGCCGACATCATCTCATGCCACGCAAACAACAGGTTGCTCGTGCAGAAATCTGCATACAAGATATACCTCAATGCTCCTTTGCAGCCATATATCATTTCAAAAACAAGAGGCATACAGTATCTCATAGTCTTTTTCACAAAGATGCCTTAAAATGTCAACTCAAAAGGATTTTGGAAACCTGCATTATCATAATATTCTAGATATCATCAATATCATATCATAGAATCAATATCATATAATAACAATCATTTTATTTCTAATAATAATAATATTTATTGAGATGCATAAATAAAACCAAACATGATCTTTTGTTGTATGGTTCAGTTACCTTCATATACATTTTAAGGTCTTGAACTATCTATTAATATCTAACTGTAACAACATGAAATGTAGTGACATTAATGAATGAAAATGGTGATATCACAAAAAGAAAAAAAAACATGAAACAATGGGCAGAACCTCACATGGGATGGGGACAGGGAATGGCCAAGGGAATTACGGGATTCAATTGAGAAAACATGTGAGCTCGAGGATACTTGTACCTCCATCAGATCTGAAAAGAGAACTATTCTCGCACCATGCCTTAGAACATCCCAGAAACTTCTGGGTTTAGACTGAGGCTGCTCTTTTTTAAGTGCCTGCATATCAGAGGTGAAATTATTAAAGGCTTAACAGAAGAAGATTCAGACAATACAGTGAAAGACTATTCCACACGCAAAAAAAAAACCTGAATTAATGCAACAGAACGTCAAAGAAAAGTCAACTTTGTTTACCACATCCTTCTGATGAATTTCTCCCTATGTGATCAATGCTGTTTTATCTTAGATCTGTTATTGTTTTGTTTAAAAAAAAAAAGTTTTTTTTTTAAGTATTCACTAATGTAAACTTTGCTTTCAAACCAAGCAATATAAAACACAGCTCATATTTCTGTCCCTATAAGTCAGCAAAACCACACATGACAACACAGGATGTGTGCAGCATAAAGTAGAACTAGTTGTCCTCTACAGTTCACCCCACATCCTTCTGATGAATTTCTCCCTATGTGATCAATGCTGTTTTATCTTAGATCTGTTATTGTTTTCAATTTTTTTTTTTTTAAGTATTCACTAATGTAAACTTTGCTTTCAAACCAAGCATTATAAAACACAGCTCATATTTCTGTCCCTATAAGTCAGCAAAACCACACATGACAACACAGGATGTGTGCAGCATAAAGTAGAACTAGTTGTCCTCTACAGTTCACCGAAAATGCAGTTGTGAGTCCTGAAAAGGTATGGGTACGAGTTTGGTTAACTTGTGACTCTCATAAACAACAAAACAAGGTTTAAATGTAACCGTATTAAACACTAAAATACAGGGCAGACAATAATATCCTGCTGCTGTGTGAACATGACCTTAGTGCTTCAGTCAGTAAACAAGAACTCTGAATAAATCCAGTTATGGCCTTGCCGAGATAAACAGTGGATTGTGTTCAGTATCATTATATTTTTAAATTCAGCACAAGTATATTGTGGTTTACACAGAAAAACACTGACTGAACAGAGCTGAAAGAGCTTCTCATTTCTCTTGTTTGGTGCTGAGACTGGCTCATTCCTCAGCAGCAACTCTTAAGTGACACAAAACTCTTCATGGTCAAGCCGTCGCAAGAAGTAACCTGAACCTAAATACCACTCTTCAAGCAACTGTAAAAATAAAACATGGGGGTCCAGGGAGAGTTGCCATTCTTCAGCTGAGGGCCTTTTAACGTGATTCTGTGAGACCATTCCTTTGCAGAACGCTCCTGACAGTAGACAAGCAACATAAATCATCTGTTTCAGTCTCTGGATGATTTTTCTGCTCTCCTAGACAATAGAGCTGCATTTCAGACTGAGCCCCATTAGAGCTGCATTGTCCCTCTTCTCTGGAGGTGAGCCATGCGTGAGGGTCACTCTGTTACACCCTATCCAAACATTTCAGCATGTAAAATAATATTACTCACTGACTGTCTGAAAGAAGCCACTGAAAGTGGATGTAACCCTTCTGGTTTATTGGAGTAGGAGCTAATTTGGTTCTCGAAAAAGGCAGTCCGGTACTAAAATCGCACCCAGTTCCGGCGGTGCGAAAACGCCAAAAAGTGGGTAGTTCCACAATTAGTTCTGGTAATATGAAAAGGTTCCCGCGGTGCGAAAGGCCCTAATGTCTTGCCTCATGCTAAGCATCAAATGGATTTAGAAATCTTATAATTTAATCCATGAGACTTATGGAGTGCTTTTATGGTGTACCATTCATTTTAGTCAATGGAAGAGTGCAGTGTGAACATTCTTCAAAACATCTCCTTTGGTGTTACTCAGATAAGAAAGAACTAAGGTTATGGAATGACATGGGCATGAGAAATCATGACACGATTTTTATTTTTGGAACTATTTCCTTACATTACTTTTAATTACAATACACATCGTTTCAGGTTATGGCAAAAGAATATGCTCATGCGACTGAGGACCATAAAATGCTTTTGGTAGAAAGACAGAAATCTATTTCTTACCAGTTGAGAGGGACTGTCAGGATCTCCTGCCCGCTCTTTTTTCTTTTCATTTTTCTTACGGAATATCTCCTCCAGCTAAACGGAGAAAGTAGAGATTTATCTTTAAGCATGCTGACAATCAGATTAATAATAAACAGCAACAAAACCAACCGTACCACCATGAATTCCCTCTTATCCACCATTTCATTGCCATCTGCATCAAACATGTTGAAAGCTATTTTAAAACCTGCATGCGGCTCTAGAAGACAAAAGAAAGAGGGGACATAAGGGACATCAACACATTCTCATGCATCTATACTTTTTGTAATCATTGTTGGTGCTAAATGAGCATGAAGAATTAAACCTAAAGACCAACTCACTTGTCAAAATGCAAAGCAGAAACAGATACTCGGTGTAAGCGATGACACCTGAAAAACAGCACACAAACATTTCCTTTTGAGAGTTCAAACAAAGCTTGTTTTCTAACATCCCAGTACCTGCCTTCAAAATACATTTTACTATCAAATGTCATTTTAAACTAGAGCTCCTTTCTTCTTTTACACTGATAAGACCTTAGAGGACCCCATTCTTTACTCTTGTTTGGTGTTCTCTTTGCACAAACAGAGACGTTAAAACGTAAAGTAACCAGGCTGGACACAAACCCAAACAAAATTAGAGCAGGCCACTGGCTCCTGGGTTTCCCTCTGTTTATTTTCCTAGGTGTAAAACATTCTCAAGTGATCTGTAACTGATTGCAGATGCCTGGTGTGGGTTTGTTTTCCTTTTTGAGGTCTGTTAGTCCTTTGCTGTGTGAGAGGAGAAGAAAGGAAGAGCAATTGTCAGGTCTCTGTCTAGGAGAGACTTAAGGAGAATTGTTCCTGCCACTGAAAGCATTCCCAAGCTTTTGTTTGAAGGAGATGATAGTGACTTGGACACAGATAGTTCAGGAGGGGTGCTGTGGGAAAAGGACTTTGGAATGTTTAAGGAAACGGATAAAGAAAGGTAGAACAGAATAGAGAAGATACATTTTCACATTTCAGACCTCCCTTATCCTTTATGTATATGTTGGTGGATTCGCCACAATTTTGTATTTGTATATAACTAAGGTTGTGAATTTAAAGTGTTCATTAATTATATAAAAATAAAATATTAATTAATTTATAATTTCATTTAAAATGTATTATGCAGCACAACCATTTTCAACATTGATAATAATAGTAAATGTTTCTTGAGCAGTAAATCAGCATGATTTACTTATGATTAGAATGATTTCTGAAGGATCATGTGACACTGAAGACTGGAGTAATGATGCTGAAAATTCAGCTTTGCATCACAGGAATTAATTATATTTTACAATATATTAAAATAGAAAACAGTTTTATTTTGTAATAACATCTGACTTAATTTGATCAAAGAGACATATATATCAATTATATATATGTGTGTGTGTGTGTGTGTGTGTGTGTGTGTGTATACACATACATACATAAATGTACTGTATATTTCTGAATTTAATGTGTTAATTTATTACATATTTTACATTTAATTTAATAAAAGTCATATATATTATATACATTTGAAATTAAATTACATTTTATTACTTATTATTTGTATAGATACTGTATATTAAATTCTGTATTTTTAGATTATAAAAATAGCTTTTTTTATAATATGATTCTATCATGATGACCCCATAAGTAAATGGCATGTGAGCAATTCAGGCCTGAAGTACAACTTTTTGTAGTATCTATTAAATGCTTCGTCTGCTATAAATCTTCAGATTATCTTAATTTGCATGCTTTATTCAGCAAATATTCATATAGGTGATGATTAATAGATTGGTTGCCCTATGTATACTCAAAACTTATACTTATAGTTAAGATATCAACGGCTGCCTGTGCATTTAGTATTTTAGGATCCCAGACAGGTTTCATTAGAGCCACACAATTTCAGTCTTGCAGAAAGAAACCCAGCCCAAGAGCTCAAACAGTTGTCAGAACACAAAGAATTCCACAGAAACAATTCATATAGAGTGTCAGTGATGGAGATGTAATCCAACTCCATTCTTAGAATTCATACTGTCCAGAGTGATACGGGGCTGCCACTAGGACAAGTCTCAACATTGCAAAGTTCAAACAGCTCTTTTCAATTTCTGAAGTAAGGCTTTGTTCACAGATCAAGCCTATGATCAAGCTTTAACATTTAACAGCCAGATTAAAAGCCCAAATCCAGGCACTGGCACTCAAGGAGAGCAACGGTGAGCAGAGATATCATGCACTATGTGGAGTGTTTTAGTGCTTTAAGTGTAAGAGAGAACACTACAAGTAATGTACTGTTAGCATCTTGGAAAGCGCCACGTTAAAAGCTGATATTTTTCTCATAATTTTTGACTATTCTGTGTTAAATTATAAATTCTATGAAAAATTTCTTTTTTTAACATTGTGGGCAATGTCATTTTTAGAATTCTTGCAATACCATACATTTTAATTTGTCTATTGTTGCTGATATGTCAAGTATGATAAGCAAATACTGCTTTTTCTTAAAGAACGTCTAGAAAGTAAGACCTCCGTGTAACATAAAGCTGGGTAATTTATGGATTAGTGTGACTGTGTGAGCATGGCGCACCCTTTGGCTGAATGTGTGATTATTTTCTATTCAAAATGACATACCACATGTTATGCACTGGGTGTTTTTTGTCACCTTCCTATCTGTGATTATCCCAGAGCAAAGTCACAGTAATGTCAGACTGATTGAGAGATAAGACAGTTTTTACAACCTGTGCATTCTCCTGCTGCATGAGGCCAAGTTTCAGGATCCAGACTGTTTCAAAACACTGTGTATGAGGGTGGCCTAAGCATCTGCACTCTCTAAAAACTGTATCCTAATTGTACCTACATCACAATATCTGTTAATTAGAGATGTTTCAGTTTTAAGCACATCATTCATAATTTGGCCATTAGTGTATATTTAGAATGATAGCCATAAACATGGCAGTTTGAAAGCAGATCCTCTCAAAATCAAGTTGCCTGGAAGCATTTATTGTAGTAAACAATGATCAAATGACAAAGCAAATGACACTGCATTATACAATACAAATCGATTTACATAACAAGATTATTAGGTCTCACCTCTTTCCCGCAGGTTTCGGAACAGATGGGATGATCCTTTCCAAACAGGTGGCGTATCTGACAGAACCTTGTCTAGATCCTTTTTAAAAAGCACATATATTCAGGATCATTAAGATTTTCTAAACTCAGATAAATATTCAGTAAAAAAAATAAAAAATCAAACCTGTTTTGTGAGGGATCTCCAAAACCTCTTTTCTAAAAAAAAATAAATAAATAAAAGCAGATATAAGAATTATTTATGGTATCATTTAAAGCTGCAGTCCTTAACTTTTGGCGCTCTAGCGGTTAATAAATAGAACTGCATGCGTCTTGCGGAAGAACATTGTAGCCGGAGCTACTTCTCTCTGTTTAGGTCAATGACGAATCACGCAGGTACTGGGCTACTCCGCAGCGGTACATACCCGAACCAGTCTAAAATAGTCCGAATATAAACATTTATTATAGGTGTACCGTAGGGATTCTGGATAAGCCAAAAACACGGTTTGGAAAATGGATTAATGGTGTACTCGATTATTATATAAATGTTGTTAAATTTGAACACAAAAAAGTTACGGACTGCAGCTTTAAACTATTTCTAAATGAAAGCAGACAATAAAAAAAAGCCAGGTCAGGATAAAAAAATGGATCAAAGTATAGCATAACACTCTACTTACTCTACTTTAATTCTGTATTAATTACAAAATTTTACTTAGGCTATTAAAATAAACATCTAAAAATTCAAAAAATTCAAACATACAGAACATCTGTTGTTCTCTTATTGTAGAATATGTCGTTCAGGTTGAAAAGATACTGTTACAGTGAAGCAGACAGTCTAAAATGTTTTGACAGGGTGAATCAGTTTCTAAGTCTTTTGCATATATGCAAAATATAAGTCTTATATAAATCATATCTGCAGAAATAAGTCTTTTTCGTATCTGCAGAAAATGCAAGTGGCAGTGCAATTTCCTGAAATGCATGATTACTTGCCATAGATAACTATATAGAATTATTCTTTAATAAATAATAGAGATAACATTTAATACTCAATTTTTGTTTTGAATACAATTTAATAAATAAATGAAAAT